CAAAGTAATCAATTCAATTTGGAAGAATGTTTTTTGGCCACAACCGTTTTCTCATCGCCGTGACAGTGATAGTTCTATGTATATCCAAATAGATGACGTCAAAAGCGATAATGGAGATGATGTTGGGGTTTCCTTGATATCCGACTCCTCTTCCGTATTATATTAAGAAATATTTAGTGCTTTTTTCCCATTTCGTTATGTGCACTTCCCATAAACGGGGCAAAAACAAACTCTTTTTCATGGTTGAAAAAAAAAATAAAAAGTGAAAATTAAATATGTAATTGGCAATTCTTTACGAAGAAAAAATCCAATTTAGTGCAAAAAGCTGTTTATAAACATTGAATAAATAAACGAACGAACAAATGAACAACTGAATTTTCTTTCATTACACGGGAAGAAAAAAGAAAGCCATAACATGTATGATACCAACTGCTGAACTGTATGGTAATCTTAAGACTGAAAAACTTGTCTTTATTAGTTTGATGAGAAAATTGCTGGCGAGTCTTTTGTGGAAGATGGATAACGAGAAGGGGGAAAGAACTAAGGAAAAAGCAATGAATAAATGAGAACTACGTAATTTGTTTTCGGTCTAAATTTGTTCAACTGCTTGTCGCAGTCAAATTCATATTGATTTTAAGTTTCAATGAAAGATGTAAAAAAGAGAGTAGGGAAGGGATGGAAGGAATGACGAGAGGTGAAAATGTGAATTTTTTAAAAAGCTTACTTTTATATATTAAAAAGAAAAAGTCGCATGTTTTTCAACTGTCTGTTTTTTTTTTCTTTTGCAAATTATTTAAATACAAGAAGATGTAATTTACCACATCTTTATTTCCTCTAATTATTTTAGGCGAAAATCTATCTGATGCGCTGGAAAAAATTATCATTTGTCCATGACTGGAAAAGAAAACGAAAACCAGGTAAGTCATTTTTTCAAATAGTCTCTGTTTAGCATTCAAACAGTTTTATTAAAGTTTTGAGAAAACTTAACTTTATGCATCAGATACACAATACAGTTAAACGCAGTAATGTGCACAGCTATGAAAAATAGAGCAATATTCTGTAGGTGCAATTTCAACATTTGGACCAACAAATCTGAAACAGTCGGACTTAGCTGATGCATTAGCTGCAGCTATTATAATACACGGTATGTTTGGATTAAACACTCATTCTATACGCCAGCGCTTTAACGACTAGTAAAAAAATAAGAAAGTTTATTGATCAGCAAACAACTTAATTGCATGAATTATAAACAAAATTATTATTTGTTTAATCATAAAATTGCTTAGCAATGACATCAGTAATTAACTGCAAAAAAATTAACTTGCCAAGGCAGAAGCAAAACAGCTAACTACATCTAAATTTTTTGTTTCCTTTTCCTTTATTATTGCTTTATAGACCTTAGTCCGGCAAGGGAAGTTGAAATTGAGAACTACGAACCATCGCTGAAAATTTTGGATGCGGTTTTACCCGAGATAAGAGGTCCTGAACTTTTCAGACTTAATCTTTTTTTCCTTCAGCTTATAATCATTGTCTGTAGTTTTACTGCTTAAAAGTGCTTTGCGAATCTTTTTCTTGAAAACAGACTTACTATTTACAGTTTCGCCACCCGCAGACCCTGCACCAAGCGAAACAAAGATACCCTTGGCTGAAATGGAAGAATATGATCTTCAGTCACTGTGTGAGTCCCTTGAAGCTGGAAAAGTCGATATCAAAGGTTTTGAATTTTTTTTAATTTTAATGAATTTCAAATGAGCCGAGTCTTTAATTGTTTTGAAAGATACACTTCAAAAACCTAAAATAGTGGTAATATGAGAATGTAACAATTATTTTTAATTTTTTTAAACTATACAGATGTAAATAAACAATTTGTAACCTAAAGACTAAGCCATATAATAATTTACCGTAAATAAAAAAGTATTTTCAGATAAAGAAATGGTTGTGGAGCCCGAAGAACAAAGCATTTTGAATACAGAAGAAAGTGTAGAACATTTAGCAGAAGAAAAATCTGAAGAGAGTACGGAGGAAACTATAAAAAAGGACGATAAGGAAGAAGATGAAAAGGAGGAAGAGGAAGAAGAAGTAGAGACGACAATGAAAGTAGAAGGAAAAGAACAGAGGGAAGAAAAAAGAGTAGAAGTAGGAGAGAGGGAAGAAGTAGAAGATGAAAGACAAGAAGACAAATTAGGGCTTAAAGCAGACAAGGAAGCAGAAGAGGAAGAAGAAGGAAAAAAGGAAACAGAAGAACTTAGTGTGGAATCTGTAAGAGTTGAAAGAGTAGAGGAAGAAAAAGAAAAATATAAAAGAGATGAGGAAGTGGGAGAGGACAAATTAGAATTTGTAGAAGCTGAAAAAGGAGACGAAATGAAGGAAGAGAGCATAAAAGAAAAACAAGAAATGGAAAAGAGCAAAGCGGACTCTTCAGTGGTTGTAACGGCTGTATTAGAAAAGAAAGAAGAGAATGAGGAAGTTGAGAAGAACAGTGTGGCATATGTTTCGGCTGAAAAGCTACGAGAAGTAAAAAAAGAAAATTCAGGAAAAAAGATAGAAATGAGAAAAACTGAAATGGAGTCTTCATTGGTCATGGAAGTGAAGTTGGAAAAGGTAGAAGAGAATGAGGAAGTCGTGGAAAGCAAACTGGAATCTGTAACAGCTAAAAAAGTAGAATTGAAAGAAGAGAAAGTCAAAGAAAAAGAAGCTTTAAAAGGCAAAATGGAACCCTCAGCGGTTTTAGAAGTAAAACTGGAAAAGAAAGAAGAGAGCGGGGAAGCTGAGGAGAGCAAATCAGAATATGTAGCAGCTAGAATAGTAGAAGAAGTGAGAAAGGAAAAAAACGAGGGAAAAGAAGCACAAAAGGTCGAAATAGAATCTTCAGCGGTTGTAAACGTGAACCTCGAAAAGAATGGAGAAGAAGAAGAAGTGGAGAAAACCAAAATGGAGTCTCCAGTGCTTGCTGGAGCAGAATTATTGAAGAAGGATGCAGCAGAAGACAAAGTGAAGTTTGCAATAGCTTTAGAAGTGAAAAAAGAAAAGATTAAAGAAGACGAAGGAATAGCGGAAAGCGGAATGGAATCTTTGACGGTTAAAACGTTAAAAGAAAAAAAAGAGGATGCAGAAAGAGGGGAAGGTAACTTTATTTCACTTATTTAGTTAGAAAAATTGAGCAACTAAAATGACTGATTGCTGAAGTCGTTCTGACACTAACAGGTTCATTAGTTTTGCTGGACAGATTTGCACCAGCTGAGAACCCATCTCTTTTTTGCTACGTGCCTAGATCTAATTGAAAACTTGAACAGTAGCAATAGTGCTAAGTACGGATAAAGTAATAAGCAGATAGTTTTAAAAGAATGAGAGAAATTAGGCTGTTGGGTGAAAAACCTAGTGCAGTTCGGCGAACTACATCTGAACTATATTTCGATAAATTTATTTTGCCATCCATCAGATTCTTCGCATTGCATATTATTTTGACTATCTCCACATAAACGATAAATGGCAGGCTAGTTAAGACAGTGGTTACTACTATGACAGTAATAAGTTTATCCCGCCTAAGTAATGCTCTTGGACAATTTTTTTTTTAACCTGACCATCATGAAGTTTTGAAAACAAGCTTTATAATTAAAATATTTCTGCACTTTTCTTTGCTAAAGAAACATATTTGACTAAACAGCTGAACAACTACTGTAATAAAAATCTGAATCCACAGTTTTAGGCTAGTTTATAAAGTTAATTTTGATTGATTTTTTAAGTTTACTCGGTAAATTAAAAGCTTTAAAAAGTGACAAATTTGTGTCAAAATTGCCAAATTTAGAACTACAGACTTGACAAAGAAACAGATTTTATGCTGTGTAGTGCTAAAGTTTGCTTTTCCGCATTTACAACAAACATTTTTTTTCACCAAACGGTTCAGTCTAAACAAGTGAAGACTAAATTAATCTCTAATACTATGACTTTTTCACAAATAGATAAGGAAATGACCAAAAAAACCATACATTTTAGCTAGGCTTAGTTAATCAAGTGAAAATAATGTTTTGAAAATGTTTATGGATTTTAAAAGATTGTCAACGGCACATTTTGTTGACATTTTCAGCAATATCATTTTGACATCGCGTTTAACGCTTCATTTTTGACTATGTTTGTTTTTAGCTATCAGTACAGTAGAATTTTCCAAAATTACAGCTTCAGAGTCTACAGATATTCAGTTAGAGGAAAAACCATGCCGAAAGTAAGCTTTTAGAGATTACATTCATATTTTTTTTTTTTTTGTACAGTATTACCAAAAGTTGTTGCTAACAGGGTTTTCACAAAACTTTGATACCAATGCTGTCTTATTCATTTATTGTCATATTTAGCTTTCTTTTTGCAACAGTTAAGACCACTTGTTCTGATGATGAGCAAGACAAAACGTTCTGTATACCTGACCTAAGAGATCTCTCTGGTAAGTGACATTGCTGTACATTTTTTTACTCGGGTTTAGTTTTTTTTAATAGATTTGTTAACCTTCATGTGGTTGGTTCTTTTTTGAAGTCATCTAAGTGTAACAACTAAATTTTAGTCGGCATTTGGTGGTCGTAATGTTTTTATTGACTAGAGCGTAGATATATATCTTTATAATTTTGATAAATAATATTTTTACAAACCTAAATTTAGATATCGAGACGCTACTGAATAAGATCAGAAACAAAAGTTGTTTGATTGATAAAACACCGTTTCCAACACGATTAATAAATGATAAACAGATCAAACAAAAAAGAGAAATTGCCAAACTGAACGATTGTTTTGCTTCACTTATCGAGCAGGTTAGTTCACTTTTGAACTAGAAAATTGACTAACATCTGTGTCTTAAAGCTTAATTACATTTTAAGCAAAAAATTTGAACTGAAAAGTTTTAGACTCGTTTCTTTGAAGCAGTTAACAAGAAAGCATCATCCGATCTGCAGATGTTCAACAGATACAAAGGACCGGAAAAATTATATGCTAAGGAAATTGCGGTGAGACGTTCATTTCTTCAAAACTAACTTTATTTCTACACTAAAAAAAATTTGTGGGCTGTTTTTTTAGCGATTTGGGAGAG